GTCCGATTGTGTTGTATTTCACCTGTAAGGTGAGGCGAAAAACGTGGCGACCAAGAAAAAGAGCAAGGGAAAAGCTAAGGGGGCAACAACTACATCCCATCTCGAGAAGACGTACCGTCCAGGGAACGCCAACTATCGGATACAGAAGGTATGCACTCGTACGCGCCCACTCGAGCATCGCGCAGCGCGTTTGTCTCGCTGCGTCGTGTGGCGATGTTCATGTAGCACTTGCAAAGATGATCGGGAATCGCCCCGAGTTCTGAGCATGAGCTTGACAGAGTCGCTCTTGCTGTGTTTTGTTCCCGCGCGGTGCGCGCTCCCTGCGTGGCTAAGCAGCTGTCGAAGTAGACAACTTTTATCGTGTGGGACGTCTGAAAGATGGGTAACTGGCTGAATGAATAAAAAATGTATTCGTTCAACAAGGTTGATTCATGTGATATGTATTACTCTGAGGTATCGATCCTTTGGCAAGAAGCGCAGCACGACAATAGTGATTTGCCGATTGTTGCTTTTTGGCCGACGATGACGTAGACTCTCCAAAGCGTTCGGTACTACAACACCGAGCCGAATATTTGCATTCAATACCCCCCACGATGGGGCTGATTGCTTGTAGGCATGAGGCAGTACGGAAATAAACCTGTCGCTGTTTCCCCCCTGTCTAACACCGCTTTATGTAGGAATTGAAAGAGTTCATGGCCAACCCGCCTGATTGCTGCAAGGTCAGCGTCGGTAAGAACATCAGGTAAGAGGGCAGGGGAGAAAGGCAGCATGCTCATGGCGCACTGCTTTGCGTTCATGTCGTAGATGTTCGGCCCTTCAGCATCAAATTTGGTATCCCCGACCATTGGTTGCTTGCGTTAAATGGCAAACACCCACCAACATCTGGCTCGATTTGTCGTTATGTCCAGCCCTGGTTCCCGACCGCGAATTCTCTCTTCCCGGTATCTGGTCCGCCCCGTGCATCACGTATTGATCGAATTGCTCGCGACGAGACGGATGAGCCCTCCGCGAAACGAAGCTTGCACTGCGAGAACAGGACAATGATGTGATATGTCATAGCACCCAAGCCTGGCTCTCATGTTACCGTCTTGTAGACTCGTATGTAGCATGCTCCACGCACGTGTATCGCGTTGACCGCGTTTCGGTATAGCCAGCAAGGTATCACTCAAATTATGTCGTGAACTCATCAGGTAGATTTCCTGTCTGAATTGAGTACGCGCAACGTCATTCGCAATTTCTTCACGGAAACTCGACCACAAACGTGTTCTACACCACCTGCTGCCGTTACCCTCTCTTCTTGGCGGGCTCTTGCAGAGTATGGATCATCACCATCAGCGGGGCGGAAGGCACCATTTACGCAGGGGAGAAGTTCCGGCTTAGAGTATCCTTCCCTGAGGAGTACCCTACCAAACCGCCGGCGGTGTACTTCCTGCAATCTCCGCCGCCGCCGAAACACCAGGTTTGCCAGCCTTAGCCTCAACCCCATTTTTGTTTTTGTACATGCTGTCTGCGGTTGATCAACCAGCCAAGTGTCGTCGTGGTTTCGTTTAATCGACTCATGTTCTACTTGCGGCAGGGATGTATCAGCGCCCCGCCGCGTGAATGGTAGTTCCCAAAGTGACTGTGGACAATCTTAGCGCTTCAGAAACAAGCCACAAGTCGGCTTCTTAGAGTCAGCTCTATTCCTTTTCCTGACTTCCCCAATACTTGCATGCTATTGGCTTAATAGACGAACAGGGGTTTGCTGTTGTTGCTCCTACGCCATCAAGTAAGCAGATCGTTTGACATGCGTTTTGCTCCTCTGAAAAACATGACTATTCTGCTGTGCCATCGGTTTCACTTTTGCAACCCCCGCCCATTTCGTGCCGTTTGTTGTCCTCTCGGTTCAATCGCATCCCATCGCCTTCCGTCGCCCGTTTCCCATCGTAGCACATCTACACCAACGGAGACATCTGCCTGAGCTTGTTGAGTTCCAGAGACTGGAAACCAAATCTCACCGTCATGTAAGTCATAGGGCAGACCAATGGGTACGCGCGCGGCATGTGCGCTGTGCCCATGTGCTCAAATACGCGGGCAATTGATGCTCGGCGCCCAATCGCAGGATATTCGCACATGTAAAAGAATGTTGACTGAAGTGTAGGAACATCGCATCCCACGCTAGCCTCCTCTAATTAATTGTCACAAAAGGCAGCAGCACAAGATGAGCCTTATCGCACGCTTGAATCGAAAGGCGAGAGTTCTGACATGCGAATCTCGTTTGTGTTTTCCTGCTTTCTGGCTTGCGCGTCAATAATTTGTCCAGGTCTCTGGCGCTGAGCATCCTCAGCATGCTCTCTAGCGCCAAGGAGAAGCGCCTCCCAGAGGACAACGCTACACGTGAGTCTGCATAGCGGACAGTGCGCAACAAGTCTTGATAGTTTGATGGCCAATGAACGAAGAATGGCGAAGTACATTTTAGTCAAAGTGTACACAAGTGATTTGCGTCTTGAGTACAACTAGCCTCCCGGACAACGCCCTTCCACCACAGTTTTGGCGGGTGCAGTTTCATGGTGGTGCTTGTCGTGACTGTCGACCCAAAACTCGTCCTGTGGTATGCCCAGTAATTGCCGATGCTGTCCGTAACTTCCCCTGTCTTTTTGCGGAGCTAAATTTATCCCGTGGCAGGGAACTCAATGAGCTGTGATGCTCCTCTATTTCTCTGGCACTGCTTACTGTGTCGCGCCTTTTTTTTTGCAGATGCGGAAGCGAGACCAGGGCAGGCTCAACAGTGGATATACCACGATGATCTGTGTTAGGTGTGGACCACAACACGGCCGACAGTTGCTGCCCATCCCTTGAGCTTCAGCCAAGATCGTCATTTCCTGCTCTGGTCTCCTTGTGTAGCCTTGACGTGCTGCTCCTTCATGGTAGAAATGGCGGTGCGGTGCAGGGGTAATGACTCTTTCGTTGCTGACTGGTGTGTGCCCTTAGCATTACTCATCCTAGATATTTATGTGGCACTCATAGACACTGCCCGACCTGATGTTATGTCGGATGTATGCATACCTCATCGTGTAATGACGTACGTATCTACACCGGACATCTTTGGTCGAAAAGGCGATCGGGTCGGCTCTTAACTCGATGCGACTTTGACTACTGACATGGTTGAGCACGTTGACCCCTTGGCGCATTACCCTTGTAACACCCGAGCAACAGGTTACAGCCTTCGTAAGCTTTTTATAGCGCTCGCTGTCACAAGCTACACCTAGGCTCAACGGCATGGGCTGGTTCACCTTCACTTTAGGACAAACTGCTGTCACCCTGGCACTAAACTGCATCTGTCCGGCCACGGTGGTGGATGGTTTGGCTCGCTGCCTAAACAACGAATGCTTCCGCAAAGCGCCTGATCAACCCACGACCTAAGACCTCAAGACCGCGGCTTCTGTTCGTACGCTGCGCAGGTCCGTTGAAAAACACAAGAAAAGCAGCTGGCTTGATCTCTTTTCTTCGATGTTCCTTCGGTCTATTGCAAGAACCCATCTGGTGCGTCCAGTGGAGGTGGATTTCTAAGCCCCAACAACCCGTCTTTTCGGCGCTCTTCAGCCCGTGTTCGCGCCGCCTCGATATCCCACGGATCTCCCTTGAAGCATGAGCGGCATAAGATGTTCCCCGAGCCTCTGCAAGCCTTGCACGTCACGACCACTCCGTACGTTTTGTAGCTCCCTAGCCCGTCGCAATTGTAACAAGCTTGCAATTCCGAGCCTTGGCAAGTCCCGCAAACTTCCTGCCAAAGCCGGGCAGGGCAGCGTGTAGCGTGTTTGAGTAAATTGTCTTGAATATCGATCTCCCTCCCAACTCGGTGGAGATTGAAGTCGCAGGCGGGACTAGAAAACGGTGTGTCACGATAGCCGTCTCTTGTCTCTTGTCCTGCAGCTTTTCTCTCGTTCTTGGTACGAAATGAGTCGAATTACACCCATAATCGCCATCTTTGTCAAGCTCGTAGGCCTGGAACGAGCTGTGCAATCGCGCGTTGATACCAGTGCGTTGGGTGGAAACGGTCCGGGCCTTGGCTTACGATCAAGGAGTTTGGAGAGCAAGAATGACGAGTCTAACCGCGGAACCTCAAGTTTCGTTTGCTTCGTAAAGCCGACCTCGCTTCAGCAGCAGGAACACTTCGGGAAGGCGAACGACGCCATTGAACCGCAAACTTCTTCCTGCTGGCGCAAAGAGACTTTTACCAGACTGTCATGCCTTCGCGGTCGACGCTAGAATCAGTGCATCTGTGACCAGCATCGACAGCTTTCCTTACGGTACACACACCTTTGCGGGGTTTCCGTCCTTGACGAAGGAAACAATGGCTTTGGCTGTCTCATCCGGCTGCTCGAGGTGGGGGACGTGCCCGCACTCTTCCACCCATACCAAGCGAGCGTCTGGCATTTCATCCACGAACCTGACGATATGACGAAGGAGTCGAGGTGCGCCGCGGTGGTGTGCTCATGCATAACACAAAGCGGTAGCAGAGACGTCGCAGTGACTGATACAGTACCCCGTTAGGCTTGCGCCTGACCCCCCCAAATCGTGTATGCGCGTGGGCCGATTGTTCGTTTTTTGTGTGTTGGTCCGAAAGGAATGTTGGTCCGCACTACCTGCCGACGACGCCAGATCGCGTTTTAACTTGATGTTAGAGCATGACCTGGTATCGTGGAATACTCGCTCCCACAATCAAACTGGCTCTTGATATTGGACAGAGACCTGTGAACAGACCATATGCGTGTTATTGTCGGTCAGTTTTTGGAATGGACACCAGAAAGCCAGTGTAGACTCTAAAAACCAGTTATTTTCGGTGTTTTTCAGAGGTTTCAGCAGCGGCCTCGTGCGTGTGTGGTGATTGCGCGAAACGACATCGATATAAACATAGCTCTGGTTTCGGCGAAGGCCACAAAACAAACCGCGCCACAATCCACCACTCCGACGCCGCGTAGCACCTCTTCCAAGATCGGGTCTCGATGTTCAAAGCACCGCTGTTGAATTCTTGGGATGGAGAGTCTTTCGCGCATCATACATCAGCTTTTGTCCTACGCGCACAGCCTCTACCGCGACCGCTAGAGCAGCTTTTGCCACCGTTCCAGCGCAAAAAGTAGCTGTGGACACCCCACTCGCGACGCAGCATGACTTGAACCTCGCCAAAGTTGGGGAAGGGTGGGGTTGGATACAAGTCCTTTCTGATGTCAACTTGTAAAAAATCGATTTCTTCCAAGATTCCTTCGAAACAAAGAAATTCAGGGCTCTGCGTCATCGCCGCTCTCCTCCTCCGACGTACAAGTCAGATTCTCTGACGCATCAGACTCAGACTTTTCAGACGACGAGGTGGTTGTCTTCCCACTCGTGCCAGGAACCTTTGCCAAGAGGGCCAATGAAAAACTCGCACTCCATCCCGGCGTTGACAGCGAGATGGAGCACGTGGAGCAGGCACCCGATGCGGTGAGCGAAAATTGGACCTTCTTCGCTGAGGACTTCGGGTGGTTCATGAGGAGGAGGAGGAGGTGCAGCAGCCGCGGGTTGGGCCTGACCCTCACCGGCGTCGTCGGCCATTTCCGTGGCGACGGTCCGCGGGGGGGTGGTCCTCGTCCAGTTGGGCGGAGCACCGCACCATACACTTTAAATGCCGCTGCTGTGGTGTGTGCTCTCTACTCGAAACCACACCCACGCCCCCAACAAAAAACTAAAAAAAAACATACTCGTGGCCTGTTCGCCTGAAAGTTGACTCGATTGTCAACGCAAGCCTAACCGTGTGTTTGTATTTGTGACGGGGTGGTACAGTAGTTTCATGCATTCCTCCAATATCTGGCCAGACTCCATCCAGTCAGGACGACTTAGGCATTATTGGGATCGACTCGAGTTGATGCTTACCTTTCCGCGTAAAGCTTGGGGTCCAAGATCCTATCTTGCCGGCCCCACAACACCAGCGTCTCCTGGTTGATACTCGACACTTTTGTGCTGACAGCGAATCCTCCGCTCGACATGTACTGCAGAGAGGCGTCCGCCCAGCCGTCGCACATTGTGTGCAACCGCCCAACACGCACAGCATCTGATGAACAGCAATGGCACGTAATGAAAAGACGCGCGGAAAGCGTCAACATCTTACACCACACTATAGAATGTAGCATTAGATCCAGCCAGTTCGTGCTAACATAAAACGGCAAACACTGACTACACGACAAGCCGTGATATCTGGAGGCAAATTTGATGAAGGGCTTTTGCCTTTTCCAAAGCGCTCTGTGTGCGTTCCAATTTAAGCCCACCCATTCTCTTACCTTCGGTTGCTAAGCTCTTGTCGGTATAGCTCATCTGGTTCGCAAGGGAGCGCAACGGCTGCACGCAGAACCGGAGACAAACGATCAGAGACACGGCCGAAGTTGAGGTCGTACATGATCAAGCTCGTTTATGCACTTCAACCCTACAACATGATGCTTAGAACCCACCCGTCGCTGTCAGCGCCACGCAAGATCTTCACAAGAAAGGTGGTATGCATACCTCACAACAAATCAACCGGTCATGTCCAGAGAACCCTGGTCGCATTGGCCTCGACTAGAGTAAAGCGGGTTATAGGGTGAGTAAACACGCACCGTGTATACACCAAAGGTGTCTGGTAACACGTCTTCTTGGAGCTTTGGAGGTCAACCGTCAAACGTGGTGTCATCCAACCCGCACCCAGGGACGATTCTGTCCTTACCTTGCTTCCCAGAACAGAGATCCCAAGCTTCGCGAGGGGGGCAGGAAGAGACGCACCGGGTCCAGAGCCATCGATGAAACCTTGGGCGTCGATCAGTACAAGCTTCTTGACGGCTTCCGGAAACTCGTGCGCGAAGTCTAAGGCGATTGCACCGCCAAGAGAAGCTCCCACGAGAACCATCGGGCGTCCTCCCATGGCCTGTTGCCAAAACGCCTTCAGGTGCGTCCGTTTCGCTTCTGTGGGTCATGCGATGACGTGAGGGGTGCAAGTCCGAACAAGTCCATGTGGGGGGAAACGATACACGCACGCATGAAGCTTGGCGTCATCTTCATCTGAATATTGTTGGTGTAGTTCCTTCTCGCAGCTGCCAAACTAACATCGCTGGAGTTTGGGATTTTTAGACATTCGTAAAAAGCCGACGGATTGCACCCGCCAAGGGGAAGTGCGTCCATCAAACTGCTTCAGAAACTCAGATCTCCGAGGGCCTTCGAAAGGGGGAGTTTTCAAGCGGACGGATATTTGAAAAGAATTTCCAACCTCAAGTTTCATAGGTACATCGATGAAAAATGATACCACCACAAAGTTTGGGTGCAGCGACTTTGAGGACGAGTTGTAGTGCTGTTGTGGCTGGGAGTGCGCTCTCGGTCGGGGACGCTGTCCTACGCTCTCGGTAAGGGACGCTGTCCTACGCTCTCGGTAAGGGACGCTGTCCTACGCTCTCGGTAAGGGACGCTGTCCTACGCTCTCCGTAAGGGACGCTGTCCAACGCTCTCCGTAAGGGACGCTGTCCTACGTAAGGAACAAGAACGCACCTGCCCCGAAGGATTTGATCTCTCCTGATGCCAGATCCGTGAAGCCCCATCCTAGGACATCCACTGCGTACGCTTCGGCCCCCAGCTCTCCCAACTTCGGCAACAACCTTCTAAACTCTAACAAGGACGAGTCGAACCCATGCAACATCAGGATGGGGTCTTCTCCTTGCTTCCCGGTGGACTCATCGGTCTGAACGAAGTTCGTACCGATTTCGCCATTCGCAACCGATTCCGGCACTTCCACGGGGAATCTTCGCATTTTTCTCGCAAGCTCTAACGCAGCCTGCACGCACGACAGAAACGAGCGTTTGTTAGCAAATATCCTGGTGAATTACTGCTCCCAGCCTCAAGTACTTGGATTAGGCCTTCGGCTCTGAGGTCGGAGGTTTTACAGTGTAAATGATCCAGACGCGTCAAGCCTTAACATAGGCAGCAGGGCGGTTGGGGTGGTCTCGTAATTAGAAAATGAGGAGTAGTTCCTATTCAGAGTTTTCGCGGTAGCGAGAAAGACAATAATCAGCTGCATGCACACTTCAACATGCTATCGGGGCAGATACCTACACCCGTCCTTGGAGTTTGGATTTGTAGGTTTGATCCACCACGTCTACACGTCTTGCCAAAAAAAGAAAAGTACACCGATTTTCGCGCCGGACTGATGTTTTTCGACAGCACGACGGGACAATAGCCCAGTCAGCAGCAACGAGCCATATTTGGTGGAGCCTTCCACACAACGTAAGAGATGGAGCAATCCACCTCGGACTAGCATCCACTTCGGACTAGCAATTCACCCTTTAGTACTGCTGTATGAGCGATACGGATTTGGCGGCGGCATCGAAGCTGCAGGGTTCATGACGCAATTCTCCCACGCGCGAGCGGAACATGACGTGGCAGTTTCTGTGGTTGCATCTGCTCGCGGGTTCAACCTTGAAAAAAAAACTCCTCTGTTGTTGATAACTCTCTCACCGGTTCTTCAATCTCTGACACTGCTTGGGGCACGTAATCGGGAAACGCTTGGATGCATGTGTCACGCCGACTTGAGTGAGGTTTCGATCGATGGGAGCGCAGCACGGCGGTTTCGTGCGGGTGGGGCCCAGCTGCATGGCAGGGGCGTCGTCGTCCGATCTCGCCCGCCAAAGGCACAAAACCTGGCACACCAGGCACAAGTAAAAGCGGTACGAGGAGGCGCATTGCAGAGCTGATGATGAGTTTCTCTTGGAAACCTAACACTGGACACTGGACCACGCACAACAAACTCCTTCACTCTTCACACGCTACGCCTCTACGCCTCTGACACGAAGGCTTTACGGTTCCCGGCTGCGTGTTTTCGTCCTGACAGTCCCGCGCATGTTCCCGTCGAAAGTCGACCGTGGACCGAGACAGTTAGGCCGCATGTTTGATCACGTGTCTTCTGTCTTCATCGTGTCTTCGTCTCGAATCTCGAAATCATCTCGTCATCTCATCTTGCATCTTGTTGCCTCTCTCTTTCTCTCCTGTCTTTCAGTTCGCGCGTGCTCTCTCTATCCCTCTTCTGTTGATGAATTCTCGCGTGCTCTGCTCGGAGTAGGATCGATGCCTGACGACGACGAAGGATTTGTCTACTGTCCATCGTGCCAGAATGGCTTCCAATCTCCTCCGAGGTACTTTGGGAATGGATGTCATTAGCCTAGGGAAGTCGTCCGCGTCAGTTGGACCAGTACGGTCGTTAGAAGGTACTGAGTAAGCATGAGTGAGCAGAGACCAGAATGGCTTTTTCGTTATGCCAACAACAACACGAAGACAACGATTTCTGCCTCGTCGTCAAGACAAGGATGTAGACGACTCTACAATCAACGGTTGTGTGTCAAGCTTCTCTTCTTACAGTGGATGCTATGCATATGTTTTCACAACTCTACGCACAACACTTGACGAGCAGCTCGGATATTTACATGCCGGCCTTGATTGCATTCAGGCGTCTGGTGATGACCCTGTGGTGCACCAGATGTGACGATCTTAGACTGTCTGTACAGTACCATCGTGTGGTGATGATGTTGTGTTGTTGGGCATGATTCTCGTTCTCCTAGAAGCCTGACATGTGCGATGATCGCGATGCAAAAAACTATAATTGTGGGTGCACTATTCTTGCCGGCGTGAGAATCACTCTTACGCAGCAACTCAAACCTTTTGCATAGTCTACCGGTCTTGACTTGATTCATTCATGCATCTCGGCGTGCACAATGTGGGACACCACATGTATGTATGTGATGAAATTGTGTAGGGCATGATTCTTCTCTCCGCCACCTGACGTGTGCAATGATCACGATGTAATCTACAATTTTCGTGCTTTTCCGTCGTGCGCCTTTGACTCCCCTCAGAGGAGATATGGTGATCGGGGGTGACCTCACATTCTCACACATTCCCAAGGTCCTGAAAGGTTGCTTGCACACGATCTGCCAGAATTGCGCAGAGGACGGGCTTCAACGGTCGGAAGATGGTTCATCGATCATGTGCCCGTTGTGCGGAGTTTCGACCTCCGACGTGACTTCTACCTCGGCTCTTCAAGACAACATCGTGGCTCTGCAAGATGTCCACAGGAAAAATAGCCATTGCGACTTCTGCGACGACGTCTCCAAAGCTTCCCATATGTGCCATGAGTGTGCGAGCCTCCTCTGCACATTCCACATGACTGCCCACTCCGTGTCCAGAGGCACAAAATCGCACCGTGTTGTTTCCCTGAAAAACCGCGAGGCCTCCCATCGTGTTCAGATCACATGCGCTCGGCACAGGGACGTTGAAGCAAAGCTGTTCTGCTCAGAGCCTTGTGGCACTACCATTTGCCACAATTGTAGTGTCGCTGAGCACTCGGGTCACAGCGTGTTCTTTTCCGACTCAGCCGAAGTGGAACAAGTACATCGTGCCGGCCTTACCCGTCGTGGGGTTTCTTTGGGTCACAGGTGCGACCCCGAACGACAAAGAAAGAGCTGCATGTAAAGTCTGTGCACCGGTGAGAGCAAACGCGCCTACAGTGGCTAATGCGTACCAACAGTTGAGAACTGTTCAGCAAATGGCGTGTTCTGCACCAACCAGGTAAACCGTGCGCACAGCATGTGCTTTGCAGCTGAACTCTCGTACGTGTAGCGTGCCCCTTCGGAGTAAATGTTTTAACGCATACGAAGGTGGGGTCGCCCTGACACGTTAGTCTGTGGTCGATCTTTACTCATTTGTGTTCGCTGACAGATTAGCTAGAGTGCGCGGTGGGTTGGACGCGGTGGAGGCCGTTAAAATAGGGGTGGAGAAGCACACGCGGCTGGCCGAAAGCGCTACAGTGCGAGCCTTTTCAGCAATTCGTGCAGCTGTGGACTCCAGGGAGAAGGAAATTCTCAAGGTAGACTTGTTTTGGTGTGGTGTTGCTCATCTATCGATGTACAGTGGCATGCCGTGACCATGTCATGCACCTCACAACTTTCGAAAACAATTGTTTGCTTATTGCCCTGCATACGGACACTGTGTCTCAAACCGTTGCCAGAATTTGCGAGCTGATCGGGCACAAAAAAACCAGGACTTGAACGCACAGTTGGCAAAGCTGGGGCAAGTTATGAGGGCATACGAAATTGCTTTAGACTCTACGAACACGAGTCTGGAACGCTTACATGGTGACCAATTTTTGGCGATGGAGCCGACTATACGCGAGTGCTTGGATGCACGTGAGGCAGAATTTCCGTCACGAGAGCTTACGCCATGTGTCGAAGATCGCGTGGAATTCGAGCACGATCGAAACATCGCCAACGCTCTCCGCCAAGGAATCTCTCGGCTCGGATGCGTGGTAAACGCAGTACGACCAAGAAAGAAAAAAGACAAATCAACGGCAGCTGAACAAGAGCGTCATGAGTCATCGACACCACCAAACGAACACAATATCCATTTCTCTTTGGAAGCAATCGTCGGGGCCCGCCCTCAAGAAGCAACGCTCGCGAGCCCTACCGACAAAGTTATTGTCGAGATAAGGAGCGGGTCGGAGCACGACTTCCTGAAGAGTGGAACTACCGGTCCTGTGATCGGCAGGGTGGCGCTCCACACGAAGTTTAAAGGTGCCAAGCATCTAGCATTCGAAACGGAACATTTCTTCGAGTCTACATCGCAACAAGCAACACCTACACGGCACTCGCGGAAGCAGCAGCATCAGGCGGAAAAAGAGCGGCAAAAACAACCAACACCATCACGCGACGGCGATTGCGTGCCCGCCGTCCGCTTCACTAAGGTGTTACGCGTTTTCGGGCGGCGAGGGGAAGGCTCGGGTCGTCTTGAGGCACGCATGAAAAATACGATGTTTGAGTCAAGAAGAAGCCAAGAGACGTAGTATCTACACGTACATAGGGTTACGGCGCTGCAGCACGCTCCCGCTCGTATACAACATACCAAAACGCCCCTATTACCGAAGCATGAACAGAGCGAGCGGCGTACTACCTGTATTTTGTGGACTGCAACCACCTTGCGGATATAGAGTTATATGGGACACAGCGGGCGGGCATGTGTGTGGAGACCTTCCGCGAAATGCAATTAAGCCATGATCATCTCATGGAGATGCAAACTGCGCGGCCGTTGGGGGTGGTGGCAACAAAGGTTCATACTAACGTTGTGGCTGGGAGCAAGGGGCATGCGCGTCAGTAAGTCGCATGGGCATGAAACGAGAGGGCCGGAAACATGAAATGCAGACGGGTGTAAAAGTATAACAGAGAACATGCAAATCTTCAAAAGGCTGTAATCTAGCACAGCAACGGGGTACATGGGATACACCACCAGGGGACCAGCTCACAATGTAAAGGGCTGACGGTGCTCAAAAAGTCTGGTACGAGTTGCTTTGTGTCGGAGTACGAGCATGTCCCTAACGGGATCGGTGACCGGGGAAACATTGTAAACGGCGGTAAACCCACAAGGGCACATGATACAAATTAACAAAACTACCAGACGGCGAGATCTCGTAACCGTTTGGATGAAACTACGTTACGGATTGACAAATGTGCAAGAGGAACGATATTGGCGCAGCGTGCTGGGACCTCGAGACGAGAAGAAAACAAGCAGACCGACAGGCAGTGCATGGGGTCACGCCGATACATTTCGACGACCTACACACTTTATTCAACTACGGCATACAAGACTACATACAGTAACAAGAATGACATGAACACACACAAAACAACAATCGGAAATCATATGCTTACCGTAGCGTAGCAACAACAACCACGTGACGAATCTGGCAAAAAAACAACCAGAACCTGCCGTACTTGCTAGCAAATGTATTTCCACGCGGTCCGAAAATCCTCATCGAGCCCTCTGATAAACATAAACTGGCTGTGAGTGCTCCATCTCTTGGACGACTGGCTTTGGGAAGCCTCTTACCTCGACACACTGCAAAAAAAAAAAAAAACACGTGCAAGTAAGTTCATACATTGTGCTAGATTAGACCGCCGCTCTTACGGATATGGACCGGTCAACCAAGGGAAACACGCGACAGCCTGCAGTACTGGAAAGTACCATGGTATGCAAATAAGGAACGTACCATGGTATGTAAACAAGGAACGAGGACCCGCAGGGTCCTTACAAACGACCCACATAACACACATCTTGATGAGTCGACCGAAACCTTCACCCGGAACTACTGAGACCTGGTAAACACTGAATATTCCTCGTCAACAGGCAAGGGCAAGGTTTCTTCCACTTCACTTTGGCCGTGAAGGGTTTAAGGTCCAATGTTCACTCCAACATCCATCGTCCCGAGATTCTTCCGGCTGCAAGCCGCGAGGCCTGGCGCTCGACCTACGACGCACAGTGATGATGACAGCCCAACACTGTTGGTGAGAAGATAGCATTGGCCTCCCTTCAGAGCTCCAGTGCCGTGTCGTACCCGCCCGATCGCTGTAGCTGTGTACAACGATGACCGATCGTGAGCCGCCTCATGTTAATGGCAGCCCCGCATCGCTTCCGGCAGAGAGTGGTTGCCCCACACCCAAAAACCAATCGCCTCTGTGTCACCATGTTTTGATCGTTGCGGTCGATATCAACGTTGCACAGAAAACAGGACCCACCGCATTCGTCAACGGGTGCACCGAAACGAGGGAGGATAGAAGGGCGATTAACATGATATCGGAGATGACGAAACAAGTAAAAAACAGGGGGCCGGGGGCTTGCAGAGTTGGTCTGATCTAACAAACGCCTTGTGATGTACTGCCACAACTACATGTACTTCATCAAAACACGAACTTCATGAAAAAAGACGACCTTCTGTATCAACTTGCTGCCAGTCGACAAAGAGATGAACACGTCAATTCCGATGGGATAGATGATAGTCGTTGTACAGGTAAGCGTCCATGTGTCTTGTGTCCGTCGTGGTTTGAGCAGCCGAGCCTCGACGTTCTATTGGTTTCTCGGTCCTCCAGATGGGGGAATATTCGAGTATTCAGAACAATCGAGGGCTTGGTGTAGGGTCTCAACATTCTGAGCAGCCTCACACCGAAACCCGCTCTTCGCAACGAGTGCCGAAAGTGACTACAAGTACAAGCATGTTCGTTCGCTCACCTCCGACGAGCACCGCCAAGAACAGTCCGCTGTTGTATGTCATCACCTGAAAACGGAGCACGCAACGAAATTGAGGCAAGTTATCAACAGATCGACACAAGCCACGGCAGTGCTGGCGCACGACGCAAAGGCATAATCACAGCGGCCGAGCTTGACAATGGGTTCACTTCAGCATTGTCTGGTAGTTTTGACCTGTATTGGCCTTATCCAGTGCATTTCTACCAGAAGCTCGTAGTACATAGTGCGGGATTTGGGGTCCTGACACTCCAGCTATTTGCTTGTAGCTGCATTCGGGATTCCATGCGGGAACGTTCTTATATCTAGGTGCCCGAAACAACACCGAGCGTCCGTCGTACATAGCTTTGCGATCGACCACGACTACGCTAAACTGAGCGACTGAGCCCCACGTGCTCCCCAAGCGTTCCGGACGACACAGCGGTGTGGAGAGTAAGAGACTTGCTGGGTGCGGTCAGCAATCCGGATGCGTACATATTCCCGTGCAGATGCCCTATCTCTGATCAGCACTCTGCTACGTATGCTTGGCAACACATCGGCGCAACTGTGCCGAGCGCCCGGCACATTCCCCCCACATACACAAGACGCCGGGATATGTATAAATGTGAAAGGCGGCGCCATTTCCTAGTCGGGGACTCCTCATCAAAGCTGGTGGCCCACGAAAGCGCTCCTTTCCTGCGTGAACACTCACCACCAACATTGATAAAAGGGACAGCGCGGCGCCCGCTGTGGACACCATCGTCCAGACGAAGCGGGTCCATCGGTTGATCCTGTCAGAACCAAAACGATCAGCTTCAGAGATCACTTCGACTACACGAGAGCAGATATACGCTATAGGCCAGTGATCCTGTCGAATGCCCCGCAACAAGTGCTCTCACTACTTCATTAGGAAAGAAAATAAATATACACACAAAAAGACCACCCTTTCACTACGTTCAACTACGTCCAAGACGCACGAATTCAAACTCTCGCCCTGCGTCCTTCAAGAGCTTGTCGACAAATGGCCGTTTGGCGAATAAAATGAGAAACGAGTCAAGGGGTTTGCACAGAAGCAGCTTGATTTGGACAGGTTGAAAAAAAAAAAATGGGGACAACATTTGAACCTAAGCAGCAATGTTCAGCGTCATGTCCTTTTCATAGGCTCAACGCTCAGTTGTCTCACAGCATCGCATTCCCATAATATCGCAAAATTGTCGGATACGGACGCATGAGTGACAGCTCAGACTTCCTACTACCATCGAGAGCAAACAAAGTCGAAACGGCGGGAGACGCCAAAGGGGCGTGGCGTTACCGAACTCCCGACCAGACATGCTCAATCAGCAACGGACACCGTGCTGTCGGGGCTGCTGTGCTGTCCAAGGTCATGTGGGTATGTGCTGCGGTTCAAACTTCGAGCAAACTGAGCTTGGACCATACGTCATTGCTGCATCATTTGGGCCGCATCCGCCGTCCCAGACGCGAGCAGTCTCCTAATATTTGTATTGCGAGTCTACAGCACATTGTAATAGCTCCTTGCCTTGGACATCCCGCAGTTTAGGGGACTGGGGCTCGTGGCGGCGAGCGAGGCGGTGTCAAAAGCTTGTCTTTGGATCCAGATTTAGGAGTACTTCAAACCAATTACATTCGTCGGTGTCACGAACCCAGGAACAGATCTCCGCTTCCCAGACGGTCTCTACTGATGAACTTGTTCACGCCGGCACCCTAAGAAGAAAGGTGGTCTTCGAAATATTCTCCCTTCATGTGTTGCCCTCAACCCATCTCGACACAAGACGTGATCACTCATGAATCGAATGTAAGATACCACACCTCCTGGACCCATCATCAAAAGCTCGACGCACCACCCACACCAGTTTAAGAACGTGAGCGTGAAGAAGTTCCGGCTCAAGAAAGGAGAAGTTGAAGAGCCAAAAGAATATGCCCAGCAACGACTCCTGCACTACGGTATAGTCGCTGTTGGGTTACCCAACAGAGGAAATACTGGTAGGAATTAAGAAAAACGGGTGTACATTGTAGGGCAAACTAACCAGGGCTGTCCTCGTCAACGGTTTTTCATGTCGGCATCAACATTATAAAGTAAACATAACCTCACAAAAAGAGCACCCGTTCGAGATATAACCCCAGTCGAAAGGGATGTGTTGAAGTCTTTACAGTGAGTGGAGGGAATGATCATTCCCCGCGCTAACCAGAAACCACGGTACTAGGTATGGGGGGTAATGAGCCGCGTGGTGCGACTCAATACCTCGCACTAGTCTTATGTGCGATGCTGATGGTGCACGAATCCCGACACACACTAGCGTGAATCGTTTTTGGAGCAGCTTCGCGCACACCACAGAGGGACAGCAGGCGTGCGACGGGAGCGACCATGGTTGTATGTACGGTCACCGTTCAAAATTTTGCACTTTACATGCGGTGGTTTCTTTTCCGTTTTGATGCACATGCACGAAGAAACAAAATGTTAAGTCTTCCCGCTGTGCGGACGCAAACACGCACATCTGGGCATCTGGAAGAGGCACACATACGGCATATACCTGGCGGCAAGCGTATCACACATCACACCGTCGAGCAGCACGACCAGCAGCGTAGAAACAGGATCGTGACATGACAGATGATGACAAGTATCGTGCGTCAGGCTCACAACTTGCCCGCCACATTCGTCTCAAGCCTTCCGAGTTTCCCGCCATGTGATAGCAAGCAGTCCAGCATGAACCAAAAACAACAAAGCCGTTGATGGTCATGGCGTCATGACTTTGATTCAAGACACTGCAGCAGCAACAACAGCATGCAGGGAACGTCTTTTGCGAAGACAGTAGCGCGGCGCAAGTACGCAATCTGCACCGATCCCGTGGGGAACTATCCTGATAACGCACAGCAGCAGCAGTAGACCCTCACGTCCTCGACGGTTTCTCTCGAAAATTGTAGGTGTGATTTGGACTTGGGATGGTGTGTTAAATGTGTTCGATTGTGATACATCGGTTTTTGCTGTTTTTGGAGCAGTCGGTTGGACCCACTCAACATCAATAAACATCCGCTAGGATACACATGGCGCATACCTACAGCATACCCACGATGCACAGGTCGTGTAGGCCCGGCCCCTCCTGGTTTTCATAATAGCTAGTTTCAGACCAGCGTCTCAGCGGTGACTTCGTGTTTTGGTGTTGTCACGTCTATGCCTGTATTTCTTGTCCTGGTTTGAATCGGGCGCACGCGCGATCTCCGCTGCTGTATATAATACTACCGGTCGCCCCGGTGGTCTAGTGGGTAGCCTCGCAGCCTGCTAAGGACCGGGTCATGGGTTCGAGTCCCGGCAGAGTGAGATTCTTCTCGTTTACTAAATCCTGGTCTCCGTTGGAAGCGACGCGCTGCAAAGCTCGTTACTAGTAAACTTGATCGACTTCATAAGTCGCGAGGGAAGGGATTGCTGTACCCTTCTCGCGATAACAACATCTCAGGCAAGAACCGCAGGAGGGGGTCCAACCCCCCCCTCCGGTGTGACCCCGGTTGGGTCGTTTAGCTGGTAGAAGTGGAGGATAGGGGCCAGAGGGGCAGACGACAGAGTCCAATGATGGGAGAAAAACAAAGCAAACAAAATAAAAAAAAACTTTTCGCGTAGAAACCCCCGGGGTTGGGGAGCAAGATCTCCTACGAAAGTAGGCTACATATGCTGGTGAAGCACGGCCATCTGCTATGCGAGCACGACGAAACCGCGAACAGATCGTCAATCGGTGCTCTATAGATCTCATTCTGGTTCCAAAGATGGGCTATATCGGCTTCCGGGAAATCAAGTATTGGGGCCCCTGTATCGCGCGGCGCAACTTCGGCCGATATCTAGAGCCTTGTAATCCCTCCTGAGGATGGGAAGGGAAAAGCGGTCGCTCGCTTCGCCCGCTCCGCGGCTCATTATAGTACAGTATTTTTCGGGCGATAACTTGCAGTACAGTATTTTTGGGTGGTAACTGGCCACCACGGTACATTTCGTAAGGCAACTGATCACCACGGAAATTTTCTTGTGAGGTAACCAGCCACCACGGTAATGCAAAAAAATGTGCATTTTTTTCGGTAGCTCGTCACCACAGTGTAAGTTGTACAGTTAATCAACCACATCATGGCACGTCGGGCCCAGTTTCGTTTGCTTACTTTGAAGTGTTCCTTAAGTGTGTGGTCACCGCACAACAAACGTGCGCGACGCGTTCACCGAGAATCACGTCCGTCAACCAAACCAGTCGCATGAAAGGGTGAAAACCAGACAGCATATCTCCAAATAATTCTAGGGAGGCTTGCGTGGCCTCAAGACGACGACGTAAGTCCAGCGCTGCGCCAAGTAACTATGCCATGCAGAAACAGGCAACAAGCAAGCGCCGCCTTCCTCATCAACAGAGAAACGATGGAACTCAACGGTCAACAAAAAACACAAGAAACCAACCCCTACTGTACGCAACAGGCCTCCGCCACTAGATCAAAACCATACCACCGTCTTCGTAAAATCTGTGAATCAGGCTATGTACAAAGGAGCAAACAACAGACAAGAACAGAACAATACCAAACAAAACATCTAGAGTTCCATTGGCGTGCATGCAACGCGATGCTGCATCAGCCGAGGAACTCGGCATCAACATAATAACTGGGCTCATAGCGCCCGGCTAGCAGAGTGTGGTATTATTGTACGGTCATGTACCCGCGGTAACTCGAAAGCACGGGAATTGAATTTGTTGCGCGGTAATTTTTTGTACAGTAATGGGAAAACTCAATTTGTTCGTGAACCTTTTGGGCGTTCATGATAACGTTCATATTTCACGGGATCACGGGAAACGGTAATTACCGTGGTTTTACCGCAGTACAATTACCACGGAGAAAGTGACGAGGACAGTCCTGAAAACAACAGGTTTAGGGCCCTCCGGCAAAATTCCGAAAAAAAAGGTTTGTAGTCCTTTGTACTCCACGACGAAGATGACGCCAAAATCAATAATGCGTTTTCGTCAAAGCTCTCGGCGCGACGGTTCCAACGCCGTCATTTTCGGTACCGCAGCAACAGCAGAAAACACTTAAGCAGCTGACGACACCCAAACCGCCAGCCACGCCACGTCCCGACGCTACTGCTAACACCAACCATGGCTCGGCTAAGCCCCGAGAGGGACACCCTAAGCCTGCCCAAGCTGGGGAATCCGCCAGTGCGGCTGCGAGCGTAGTTACGCTGTTGGTGTTAGCAGTAGCGTCCGGACGTGGCGTGGCTGGCGGTTTGGGTGTCGTCAGCTGCTTAAGCTTTTTCGGCTGTTGCTGCTGTTGATGTGACAATACGTCCTTTTTCTTCCCTTGCTTCCTTGGATTGCCCATGTTTCACACGTGGGTTTCAAAGATGCAAAGATAGAACGCTTCGTCGAACGCCAATATGGAGCCCTCTACTCTGGGTGAGAGGAGAGTCCGGGGTGGTGGTGGCTATGTCCTGCCACCGGAGGTTGGCTATTTCCTTTGGTACAATGTGGCGAGGAATGCCAAGCGTGACCGAGCGAACTCAGTCGAGCTATTTAGGGTGGTGCGGAGAGTGGGCGAGCCTTCGTGGACTCATTTTCCCATTCTCCTCAAGATCCATCAACTCTTCGCAGCCGTTGAAGATCACAAGAGTTGGGGACCCTCGGGAAACAGCAATCTATTACAACATATTCCCTCAGATCCTACTCTTTATGTACGTGTATCTGTGCTCCCTGAATCTCCATATCCTGACCTCCACATAATGGGAAAATTCAATATATTCGTAAACCTTTTGGGCGTTAATGATGATCCTAATTTTTCACGGGACCACGGGAAACGGTAATTAGGCCCTTGTATATGGTTTCCATATCTTTATGTTCTTTTCTTTCGACAATTGTTGACTTTTTCGACCTTTGGGGCAATCTGCCTTCCGAACGAGTGCGAATCAGCTGTTCGACCTTTGAGAACAGTCACAGCTTTGGCTGAGATGTCTACAGATCGCCTACATGTTTCGCCAGGGTTCACGTTTGATTTTTTTTCCAGCAGAGCAAGATGTTGAAGATTCGGCCGAAAGGCCACCTCGGAGCAAATCTTGGGCCAAGATCTGTCCAAAAGCTGGTGTTGGAAAAATCGTGGGTGAAAATTGCGCACCTTGAAAAAATCAAACGTGGACCCTGGCGAAAGGCGATCTGTAGACATCTCAGCCAAAGCTGTGACTGTTTTCCAAGGTCGAACAGCTGATTCGCACTCGTTCGGGAGGCAGACTGCCCAAAAGGTCGAAAAAGTCAACATTTGTTGAAAGAAAGGAAGATAAAGATTTGGAAACCATAAACAAGGGCCTGACCGTGGTTTTTCCGCAGTAAAATTACCGCAGAGAAATTGACGAGGACAGCCCTGAAAATAACAGGTTTGGCGCCCCCCGGCAAAATTCCGAAATAACAGGTTTGGAGTCCTTTGTACTCCACGAAGATGACGCCAAAATCAATGATGCGTTTTCGGCAAAGCTCTCGGCGAGACGGTGTCAACGCCGTCATTTTCGGTACCGCTACTCTTTCTGCTGTGGTGTACTCGAGCGTTGAAACCGGTCCAGGGGGTGCGTGGCATCCAGTTTATATCTAAGAAGTTCGAAGTACATGCGATCACGCATTGCAGAGGTTTGGGGAATATCTTGGTATCTGCGTACATGACTCCTCCTGTCCTGCTTGACCCACAGGGTCGTGGTTTCCTAAAAAAATGCCCAACAGGTACAGTAGGTGCAAAACTGGACATCCAAGATGTCGTGCATACATTCCTGTATCCCCACTATTCCATCGATGCCTTTTGGACTACAGCTGCTGTTGTTGGCAAGCCAATCACCTCGCTGTACAGCAGCTGTCGGCAGTTCAAGTTGTTGTGACATTGTTGTCGCATCATCACACACCCCGGAGGAACAACAGCGGCGCAATGAAGTCTGCGCTGCACAAATAGCAAAAAACTGCACTCACGGAGGCTGAGCACTTGGGTTCTCGAATCCGTTCCCATCGAGGAAAGCTGTATTTCTTGAAGAGGAGCCCTTCTTCGACGATGTCGCGGTAGAGGTGGCGATCGCGAAGGCCCAATGCCTTGCGACGCTGAGCAGTATCACGGGAATACAACTCAAATAAAATGCCCAACACGTGTTGACCGTCCACCAGCCGAAGACCAGCTCGCCAACATCACAAGTAAAGGAGAAGCTCATGTTCATTGAGGACATGTCATCATCCATTTCCATGGTCCCGAAGCGTATGTGCACTGCTGTGGAAGGGTCTGAGGTGCAATGTCCCAATATGTGGGACCAGTCACAGCGCTGCACGACTGAAAAAAAAAAAGTAATGTGAGAAAGTAAGCTTCCAACGGGAAAGCAGCCAGCCCCCTGTGGAAACCCCTCTGATCAGGCGGCTCGCGGCGCAACAGACCTCCACACCCAGCACCGGCTCTAGAGGGCGAACCAGAGGCTAAACTGCCCAGATAACACGAGAGGTATGTTAACACGATGCAAGGGCACAGCAGGGTATGTTTTATACGCCCAGACACACATGGTAGGGTGAGAAATTTATACTTTAGCTAGAGCGGACAACACTGCGGCAGCTCCACAATCCGCGAGGAAGCTTCACACGCGAGCCGACCCCTGCGCAAGCTTGGCGTCTTGCAGCCTAATTATGCTGCCGACATATATCTAGGTCTCATTGCCACCTAATTAAAAAGGTTTGAGGCGATTTAGTGCGGTAGAAAATAAGCATGGTGTGTTCAAAATTCAAATTTCAGGAGAGCCCACGCCGGGGGGTTCGAACGCACGCTCTTGCATGTTGCGCATGTACATCCACTGGATACACGACCCCCATCCAAAGATACTATTGAAATGCCCGATACAGTCCGGCCGCCACAGCAGTTTATAGGAAATCTGGACTTCGAGAGGGCAAGTGCGTCTGCCTTGAAGTTAAAATTAGACTCGGTGCTTTGCCATGGTACGAGTCAAACATGACCCGGGGCGCTCAGCAACACTCCAGACCGTGCATATACAGCAGTAGATTGAAACGCCGCAGAAATGTCGAGTCGGGCATATATAGTACGTAGATCGACAGCTTTCAGTCCGTCATGCTCTAAGGTACATAAGCATGCCCATACAGAGAATCATATGGTATGCATGGCTGTCAAGAGACAACGAAGCGCGCCCACAGACATAGCATAGGTGTGTGCCTGCGTAGGCTATACGTGTCACGTGACATTCTGTAATTTTTGGTCGTATACCATGGCCAGGTATTTAATGCATGGGATAACGGCCGGCACAGGTCGTGCTGACAGATGAACCGTCGGAGAGGTAGGCGGGGCAACCGGATTGGTGGGGCTAACAACCACACAGGTCAACCGGCTACGCCATCGGCTACGCCTCGGAACCAGCCTGGGAGCTCTGTTACACCCGGAAGCGGGNTGCCTGCGTAGGCTATACGTGTCACGTGACATTCTGTAATTTTTGGTCGTATACCATGGCCAGGTATTTAATGCATGGGATAACGGCCGGCACAGGTCGTGCTGACAGATGAACCGTCGGAGAGGTAGGCGGGGCAACCGGATTGGTGGGGCTAACAACCACACAGGTCAACCGGCTACGCCATCGGCTACGCCTCGGAACCAGCCTGGGAGCTCTGTTACACCCGGAAGCGGGGGTATGCAGCCAGCATGGGACCTTCGTCAGCTTACGGAAGGCACGCTAACCCCGCGTACTCCAGTGGTCGACAACTCAGGGGGAGACATAACAAGTGAACGTCCACGGATCAGGAGCGGGAGAGAGGGCAACTTAACCACTGAGGTGCGCACCCCCACCGCCGCGACAAAGCGCGACGCGAGAGATTCCGGTGCACGCGCCCGTCGGACGGGAAGAAAATCCCGGTCGGGCAGGAAGCGCAGGAAGAGACCCTCTGTTGGTGTCACTGGTGGTGGCTTGCCCAATCTTGAGAGCAGGCTCGAGGAGGAGGATTACTACAGACAGCAGGGCGAGGCGAGGAGGGAGGCATCGGCCCGTAAAGCTCGCGCGATTGCCGAAGACGAACGGCAAAAAGCAGAGTCCGCGGGGAATCACCCCGTTGATCCTCGGCGTAGGAGTCACGGCGGGAACCCAAGACAAGCTGGTTATCAGCCTGGAAAGCGGAATGCGGGTAGGAGACTTTCTGCCCCAGCGGTGCTATCTGTACGCCAACCAACAAGCAAGAAGCGAAGAAAGGCGTGCGAGCGTATGGAATGCGGGTGGGTTACAGACCACCCTGGCACCGAGTGTAGCAAATGCTCCGGGAGTGTAGTGCACTCGGACGACGATAAGCTATGTTCGGNAACAAACGGCGAAAAGCAGAGTCCGCGGGGAATCACCCCGTTGATCCTCGGCGTAGGAGTCACGGCGGGAACCCAAGACAAGCTGGTTATCAGCCTGGAAAGCGGAATGCGGGTAGGAGACTTTCTGCCCCAGCGGTGCTATCTGTACGCCAACCAACAAGCAAGAAGCGAAGAAAGGCGTGCGAGCGTATGGAATGCGGGTGGGTTACAGACCACCCTGGCACCGAGTGTAGCAAATGCTCCGGGAGTGTAGTGCACTCGGACGACGATAAGCTATGTTCGGCATGCCACAGGTCTCCGAATGACGNTCAGGCAAGCGGAATGCGGGTAGGAGACTTTCTTCCCCAGCGGTGCTATCTGTACGCCAACCAACAAGCAAGAAGCGAAGAAAGGCGTGCGAGCGTATGGAATGCGGGTGGGTTACAGACCACCCTGGCACCGAGTGTAGCAAATGCTCCGGGAGTGTAGTGCACTCGGACGACGATAAGCTATGTTCGGCATGCCACAGGTCTCCGAATGACGACGGTTTCAGGCACCTCCGCGCGGACCGGTTAGGGCGAGCAGTAGACTTCGTGACCGCGTGGACACAAGGAGAGAAAACCCTCCCTCCAGCTCTCGTGCGAGANGGCTCTGTTCGGCATGCCACAGGTCTCCGAATGACGACGGTTTCAAGCACCTCCGCGCGGACCGGTTAGGGCGAGCAGTAGACTTCGTGACCGCGTGGACACAAGGAGAGAAAACCCTCCCTCCAGCTCTCGTGCGAGACTTTAGGCCCAGCAATGACTGCCTCTGCGCACGCCCAGACTGCTTCCTAGTTTTTTTCGCCGAGGAAGAAAGGAAGGCAGAGTCTCGCGTTTGCGGTACTTGTGGGTACCGGAAATCGGGCAAGAGCATCGTAAGGTGGTACCCCATGGATGCTGCAGATGACGATGTGGCGGAGGGGAACGCAACGGTGANCCTCGCGCTTGCGGTACTTGTGGGTACCGGAAATCGGGCAAGAGCATCGTGAGGTAGTACCCCATGGATGCTGCAGATGACGATGTCGCGGAGGGGAACGCAGCGGNCTAGACTTCGTGGCCGCGTGGACACAAGGAGAGAAAACCCTCCCTACAGCTCTCGTGCGAGACTCTAGGCACAGCAATGACTGCCTCTGCGCACGCCCAGACTGCTTCCTAGCATTTTTCGCCGAGGAAGAAAGGAAGGCAGAGTCTCGCGTTTGCGGTACTTGTGGGTACCGGAAATCGGGCAAGAGCATCGTAAGGTGGTACCCCATGGATGCTGCAGATGACGATGTGGCGGAGGGGAACGCAACGGTGAGCGATGGCCTTTGGTGGTGCGGCCGCTGCTATCAGAAGCGGTTGGACGGCATAAAGAGAGACGAGAAACAGCCAGAGCACCCAGCGAACAATGCGCATGGATCGGGGGGTGAGGCGCCTGTGCCTCCAGATCCGTTAGACACGGTGCGCGCTATGATGGAAGAAGTCGTCCATCGAGATGAGATCCTGTACTGGCAGGACGTCGCCGATTGGGTAACAGCGGAACGCGCGAAGCTTGGCATGGAGGAGTTACGAGGGAGATACCCAAGAAAAATCGTCCGGGTTATATTTGCAAGCATCGAGGAGTCCGGGACTTCACGATTGGTCAGTCACGAGCCAGCGCATGGAGACGCACGCGAGCGAGAACTTCCCAAACACCCGTAGGGACGAACATCTCGTTGACTTGATGCTGCGTGCTCGCCGTAATGCACCCGTACAGCCACCATCCAACCAGCTAGCGGATAAGGGCGGGTCTTTAAGTCGATATTGGAGGAAGTCGGGAAGGACACGGAGGACGCAGACGCAAGGATGTCCGTCGTGCGGGCAACTGGTACAATTGTTCGAGCCAACGTGGAGAGTGATCCTGCCCTGAAGAACACCCCCGGGACGCGCGAGAAGCATCGCTACGCCGATGAGTTGGACATGAAAGTGAATCCACCCAGATAGACTCTACTAACCGCGTTTCCTCCGGCCTTGGTTGGGTTATACCAAAGCATGACGAACATAGCACTGTATCGCGAGATCATCGCATCAGAGAGCGAGCAGCCCTGGGTATGGCAGACCGAAGGGCGAGACGGATGGCACCCTACCACCTCGGGCGACTTGGAGGGCGAGGACAGTGATGGAGAAAAGAAGGACGAGGTCAGTCAAGGAGCAGTGACGGTGTCGNTCCACCCAGATAGACTCTACTAACCGCGTTTCCTCCGGCCTTGGTTGGGTTATACCAAAGCATGACGAACATAGCACTGTATCGCGAGATCATCGCATCAGAGAGCGAGCAGCCCTGGGTATGGCAGACCGAAGGGCGAGACGGATGGCACCCTACCACCTCGGGCGACTTGGAGGGCGAGGACAGTGATGGAGAAAAGAAGGACGAGGTCAGTCAAGGAGCAGTGACGGTGTCGTTAGGGCCACGAACCGAGGAACAGGCCAGGCATATCGACAACCGCGACAGGCGATGCACGCATCGTAGGCTTCTAGTGATGTGTACGGTGGTGGTGAGGGCCATTTTTCGTGGTCGGCACATGGGTTCGCATGACATCAAAGGGGCTCAGTGGGCAAAGTCTAAGGGTACGTGTCGCGATGTGATCAACTTTGTAGCGGAGCACGGTTTGTGGGCGACGACGTCGCGAATTCAGCACCGAGAAGATTTCCACGCGAGGTTCGTAGAGGACAAGGACCTCCTGAGCCGGGACGCCGAGTGCGCCGCCATTCCCCTGGACAACTGTGATTTTGAACCGAGGGTCGGAGTTTGCCAGGGGGAGGGGCCTCATCTTCCCTTCATCGCTGCGACGGCCTTGACGGTAGGGCCCGACGTAGGTCGAATGGACGACTGGTGGTTGGTAAAGAGCCGGGGATCTCTTGCGGTGGAAGACGTCCTTACGGGGCCGGAGCGGGACCGGGAGGACGGTGCACGGTGGTAGAACGAGTTTACGGCCGAACTCTACCGCGGCGTATTCGATGAGGCGCGGAACGACTCCGACAGGGCTGCGGCAGACACGTGCTTCGAGTCTGAACTCCGCAAGGTAAGATACAATTTTTTTACTTTCTCCCTCCTTGTTTTCTGATAAGTGGAGATTGTCTGTCAACGTTAAGAAGAGTGCCGTCATGATATGCAACGAGAACAAGGAGGAACCAGTAGAACATAGATGGAAGTGGGGGATCGAGGAGATTGCAGTAGTGGACCAGTACACATACCTCGGAGTAGAGATCGCAAAAGACTGCTCGTGGAATGCACACATGTCCAAGGTAGCGGAAAAGGGCAAAGCACGAGCAGGGAAGCTGCACCCAATACTCGCAAACCGGCACCTCGATACACGCATCAAATTGACGGTTTTGAAGAGCGTAATCGTACCGCCGCTAGAGTACGCCGGAGAAGTATGGGAAGGAAATAAGAAGGTAGTGAAAGAACTCGAGGCGGCGCAGATGAAAGCAGCGAAAACCATCCTAGGATGCTCCAGGCGCACAAGTAATGCAGCCGTGAGGGCAGAATTGGGGATCCAATCCCTACGGTCGGGAAGAGACGCGAGGAAGCTGACCTGGCAGTATCGCATGTGCGGGATGGGAGAGGAGAGGTTGCCGAGGATTGTATGGGAGGCGAAGTGGGCAAACAAAAAGAGGGGTAGACAACCCACGGAATGGGTAAAGGTTGTAGAGGACGTATGGAAGGGGCTCGACATCGACGAAGATGAAACGCTGGAAACGGAGGGTCTACAGGGGTTCAAGGAGAAGATATCTGTTGCTTGTGCCGAGAGAGAAGAACAGCATCTAAGCAAAGAATCCAAGGATAAGGAGGGTCTAGAAGTGTACGGGATGTTGAAGGAAGGAATAGGGTTCAAGGACTACCTACATGGACCAATGGATGCAGGAACAAAGCTTAAGGTCAAATTCAGGACCGGGGACATAGGCCTTCGAGAACGTCGACGAAGACATAGGACGGTAGACGAGGAAGACGACGAGTTCAAATGTGATTGCGGCTTCGAATGCGAAGACCGTGTTCATGTAGTCGCGGAATGTCCGTTGTACAAGAAGGAGAGGGAAGTGTACGTGACTGAGCTGGGAAAAATAGATGGAACGTACAGGGAGATGTTTGAGGCATGGAATAGAGAGGAAAGGACGGTAGCTGTAGTGGGGCATAGGAGATGGGTTGAAAAGGCGGGAAGGGATATCGTTAGGATAGACAGACTAGGGAAGACATTTTTGAGCCACCTTTGGCAAAGTAGAAAGGAACGATTGGCCATCGGTGATCGGTCCTGTGGGAACAATGCTCCGTCCTCTCGAGGACGCGTGGTCAATGGTCTAACCGCTAAGGCATGCAAAACATAAGAGTACGCCCTCCTTGCTTTCTGTTTTTTCCACGACTTATCCCATCTGACTGAAGGTATTGTTGTTGTTTTTCTTCACATTAAACTCGTGTCAGTTTCTAATCCCAAAATCTAGCAAAGACTCGGTCCGTGGTCACAAAAATGTAAGAGCCATCAGAAGATCTAAAGAACACACACACTATTAGCAAGAAAAGG